GAACATGAAGTAAAGATACAACAACTTAAAAATTTAACAATTGATGTTTTGATATCACAAATGTATCTTTTTGTGATTTCAGGGTTACTTCGGTGCTGTGGGATGTCTATTACAATTTAATGGTGAATCGAGCTAAACACAATGAAGAATGTTGAGCAACTGTTACATGATATACATCCATTCCATACGACCAACTTAGCAGAATCTTTCGAGAGAGCAAGATTGTTCAACATAACTATTTATTTTTATTATATTTCTTATTTAATTGCTCGTATGAGTATATGCATATGTGAAGCAATCGTTTATTATTATGAGATGAAAGGATCTCTCTATATTTCAAAAATAATTATTTGTACATTTTGTCATATATATAATTGTACATATATATAATTTTTATCACAATTTGTTCTGTAAGGAGAATTGTGTTAAAGAATATTTTTCTTTTTTTTTTTGTTAGAGGATAACTATTTCGATATAATTGTTCGATTATGAACATAAATCTAGCACGACTCGGCAGACAGGATCGATAATGGACCAAATCCAAAGGGAATTAAGGCTTGCCTTTTCTCCCGATGTTCGTTACATGCCGTACATAGACTAGTTCTACCTCATCATTTATATTGTGAAATTTTTCTACAAATGCACAGATTTTTTATGTATATAATGGCAATCGTTATTACATTTGCGTGCACATACATTTTCATAAGTATAATGAAGCTATGATGCTAAAATATTTATGTATTTAATTGTTGATATGTATTTATAATTTTATTGTTAATGCGTTACGGATCTCTACAGAATAGATTTCTTGATACGCTTTTAATTTAATACTAAATAACTAAAAATTAATAAGAGCCTTGACTTATTACTACGATTAAATAACTAAAATTTTTAATTAAATATTTTTAATTAAATATTTTTAATTAAATACTATTTGCCTTTACGCGTGATTAGCAATAAAACAGAAAAATAAGAATTTTTTACATCGTTTACATTGTTACAGCAAAATATTGTGATTTGTAATTCAGAATATGTATATTTCCTTCAGATATTACGAAATTATATGCTCCAGAGTGTCAAATTTTGTTTTTAAGAAGTAAGCGGGGAGCACACTTTTGCATAGGCGCATAAGCGTAAGCATAAGAATCTCGATTGTCTATAAACGTATGCATAAGAAATTCAACCAATCGAATTTCTTATGTATATGCTTATGCGCTTATGCAAAAGTGTGTGCTCCCCGCTATAATAAGTAATAGAATAATGTGAATAAAAGAAAATCATTAAAAATTATAATCTTAATATATTTAATTTTTCTGTTTTATTTATTTAAAATATGATTATTACTAAAAATTTTGTCTTATTTGTAATTTATTCATTAATTATTAACATTATATTTTACATCACATCTTTTTATGTAGAACTAGTAAAGCTTGTTCCTGATGAAATGTATTGCAAAACACCAAATAGACATTAATTTCTGCTAAATATAAAATGTTATTTATACATGTAAAATATAAAACAATGTAAAATATATACATTATGTATACATTATATCCTAAGTATAAAAAGTTTTTTATACATAAACATGTAATGCAATATATATTTGCATACATTGTAAACATACAAATTTCAATAATCATATGTATACATTTTCATTTTCTACTTAAAAATTATTATCTCATCGAAAATAATATAAAATCTGCATCTATACATGATGCATCTGTATAAAATTCATATTTATATCAATGTATAGACATGGTTGCTTAGTAACGATCTTACAAAACAATTCCATTCTAAAATGTCACACTTACCATGTTGTGCAGACCTAGGTCAGCTGACATGAGACTATAGACTTGACAGCAGTATTATTATTATCATTATTGTTCGTGTTACATATTGCTATAATCTTTGAAAAGATATATAAATAATCTTTCTACGCGGTTTTATATATATCGGTAAAAATGGTAAGTTTGATTTAATTAAATATTAATCTGACAAAAATTTGGCTGTTTTTATCAGTATTATCGTATATTTTTCATTTTTTATTATATTTTTATATACTTTTACATGTATGTATCAGATATATAATTTTTTATGAAATTTCCTTCTTTTCCTACTTTCTTATAATTTAATGTATTTTTTAAATTACATGACAAAAAGCCTCCTAAGAAAGCAAAAGGGAAAACGACGGATAACGTCGATGGAGTGGATACAACGAAAATGAATAGGGAACAATTGGAAATATATGCTCATAAAATATTAGAAGAAATGGAACGTGAGCGGGAGGAGAGAAATTTTTTTCAATTAGAGAGAGATAAATTGCGAACTTTTTGGGAAATAACAAGACATCAGTTGGATGAAGCACGCGCTACAGTCAGGTACTTTAAATTTTATCACTCTTTAATAATATTTCTGATATAATATAAATATATTTGCATAATTTGCATGTAGAAATAAAGAACGCGAGAAAGAGGAATTAGCAGAGAAACACGAGGCCGAACTCAAGTTATACAAGCAGAAAGTGAAGCATTTGATGTATGAGCATCAGACTAATTTATCCGAGAACAAGGCCGAGCATCTGGTTGCTCTTAAATTGGCGCAAGATGATCACGTTGCACAAGAGAACGAACTTATTAAAGATAAAACTGATTTTAAGAAAATGCAGAAGGAACAGGAATTGGCGTATATGAACGAGATACGCGCGTTAAAATTGGTAAGATGCACGTGTAATAGAATTTGCCAAAAATTTATATATTAAATTTTAATAAAAATTTGTTCATATATATATATATATATATATATATATATATATATATATATAAAATGCAGCACAATTCGGAAGAAATGAATAACATGATGAAGAAATTCGAGTCTGAAGCGGTAGAATTGGAGCAAAAATACGAACAGAAATTAACCAGTCAATACGAGTCTTTAACGTTGAAGCATCGCATGGAAATTACAGAAGTGGAGGAAAGAAAGAATGCGCAAATTGCGAATTTGATAAAAAATCACGAGAATGCGTTTGCCGAGATGAAAAATTATTACAATGATATCACTCTCAATAATTTATCGTTAATTAAGAGTATGAAGGTAAGATTCGCTACCTATTGTATTTTGCAATTATAAAAAGTAAATGATCTGAAAAGCTTTCAAATTAACGCGGCAAATGTTTTAACAGGAACAAATGGAATCGATGAGAAACAACGAGGAACGTATGAAAAAGCAAGTGCGAGAATTGACAGCGGAGAATAAAAAATATTCGGCTGAGTTGAAATCTTTGCAAGAAACAACTACCGAGTTTAATCGTCAACTTGCAAATTATGAGAAGGATAAACAAAATTTAGCTGTTAGTATATCTCTATTCTATAACAATATTATAAACAGAAATATTTAATTGAGTTAATGATATTTCTAGAATACGAAACGGAAATTGGCCACAGTGGCAAAGGATTTGGAAAATTTTAAATGGGAAAATGAAGTGCTTGAACTTCGTTTTGAAAAAGTAAAACATTTTAATATAATAAAGAATACTTCGATATGTGAACCTGATCCTGACCTTTTTAATATTTTTTTTTGTTTTAGTGTCAATCTGAGAGAGATGAGTTACATTCTAGATTTGTCTCGGCTATTTTCGAATTGCAACAGAAAACGGGTTTGAAAAATGTCCTCTTGGAGAAAAAATTGGAAAAATTATCGGAGTTACTGGAACAACGAGAAGCACAGATTAGTGAAGTGCTGGCCACAGCTCAATTAGATCCTGCTGCGGTGGTCAAAGTGAATAAAAAATTAGAGGTATGCATTATCTCGCGTTATGATCTATTTGAATCACTCTACGATTGTATCATGTTATTTTATCTTTCCATAGGATATGCTTAATAGAAAAAATACTGCGATACAAGATCTGCAATATGAATTGGCTAAAGTTTGCAAAGCACACGACGACTTATTAGCGACTTATGAGAGTAAATTACAAGAATATGGAATTCCCAAAGCTGAACTTGGAGTTCAGCCTCTGAGAATGAGGATAACCGGTGCGAAATTGGGTTTATGTTCAGCTGGTTTTGTCACTACAAATCAGTAATTATAATTTTATAATTATTAATATTTAATCGATTTTTGTGGTAATTTTATATGCCTTTATCTGCGAAAATCGCATCGTATCTTATTACTATTTTTATATATTTTATTGAAAGGGCTATGATACAGCATTTTAGATAAGAGAGTTTGATACTATACAGAGTGATCGATAATATGCGCATTTGTTGTATGTAGCAATATCTCTCTTATTGAAAAAAACATAACTTTTAATATAATTAATACATATAATTTTGACACAGAGTATTTTTATTCTGTAAAATGAATACATTTCAGTTTACGCGTGTTACGTTTCCAAAAATTACATAAAATTATCACAGAGAATGTACAAAGTAGATCGTATCGATGCCTGGAAGTTGTTTAGTAATTATTTATAACATATTTATCTTTTTGTCTGTAATCGCATCTCTTGTCACGCAATTAGCGTTGGCTAAATGAAAAATCTGATATCTTATTCGGCTCATTTCATTATTTTTTATTTGTTATAATTCTATTACTAGTAGCGCAACTTTCTTTTTGCGCTCCAACATTTTGTCAGATATCTAACAACTGGCAGGCAACAAATACATTGAAGATACATCCATATATAGATATTAACATATAGATATTAGACACACTGACTAGAGTCTAGCTCTGTAAAACACTATAAGTCAGAGATACATCAGGTCACATGGTTATAATAAATTTCAAACACTGGCTTTATATGTAAAATATTTTTCCCCGTCCGCAATTTCTCGCACAGTAATAATAATAGTCTGTAAACTTTTCTCTTTGTATATATATAATACTTAACGGTTAAGTGAAGAAATAATTTATCATTTGCTCACAGATTTGTAAATATTATACAACGCCTTGTATAGATATAATTTTATAATACATATATAGATGTGTGTGTATACATACATATATATATTTATATATATGTATATATATGTATGTTTATATGTGTATATTAAGAATTTTGGCACAATAAGAAATAGAATCACAGTTGAAATCATTGTACATTATAAGACTTAGATGGTTGTCAATATATCGGTTTCGTGAAGTATTTATATTACACGTTCGCTACGCGATATGAAATATACATTGAAACGTGTAAACGCAATCAATCTGAAACTCCACGACACTAGGCTATATGTTATAGAAAACGATATAAACTACGAAATAATATCAGAAAATCCAGTTTTCGGGAAAGATCTCACGCCAAAGTTAAGGGATCACTAACCAGATACAATTCTGAGCACTCTGCACAAGAATTTAGAATTTATTCGTACGCGTGTTTCTTTTCTGAATATATTAGGCTCTTTTGATCATCACTTTATTCGAAAGAAATAGCCGATATCTCTTTACGCTTTCTTTGTTTTCTTTTCATTAAATTTTTACGGCCGTGTCGAGTTTGTATCGGAATCGTAGAAAAAATAAGCATCTGTTTTAATTTTAGATATTAGTGGTCCATTGTTCCATTGTAAACCTTTTCCTCGCGAGTTCCTTGAAAGGTTTTCTCGCTCGCTACATTTACAAGTGCATCGATTTCTAGTTTATGTGCACACACTAAATTTAAATAAGAGCATAATATATGTATGCGCGTAATACTAAGCGCATTTTGATGCATTTACATATACATATAAAATTTAATGTGATGTAGCAACACACACTTTCATTGAATTTTACTACTGTCAAAATGTTTATGCATTTGTATAATAAATAAAAAAAGATGAATATAGATATATAATCTAGAGGTGGCAAAAAGGCAAGATATACACACTTTCATGTAGTTTACATTAATTACCATATTTGAATAAATAACAGAAGTAAATAATATACGACGATCCTTTGCATAGAGCAAATATACATATTTCCGATCTGATAAAAATTTATAAAGTAATTAAATATTAAATTGCAAATTTTAATATTAAAAAAGAAATAATAGCTTCTCAGAAACTTTTTTAATGCATGTAAATTAATTAAAAATTTCCAAGAATAATGTAAATGACGATTTTTTTTGAAAAAATTATGTAATTACGTAAATTATGTAAAAAATGTGTATACATGATACAACGTAAATATGTTCTGTTTTATACTCAAGAGCTTTGATTCTCGTTCAACTCATTATCCTCCATTTTGGTAGAACGTCGGCGATCAACGTAGAAAAGTATGTTGTTACATTGTAAACTACAGTTTCGCCGGCGGCCAAAATAGCTCCGAACGAGCCGTAAGTGCCGTAATCTATTATGCTGTGATTGCACGTGGATAAGACTGCTAGATCCTTACCCGGGCCCTTACCATCATTATCCGATACGAAACTGATTCTATGACGGTTGCTGTGCAAATTATACTTGCACCAGGCAATATTATCGCTCGTCACTACGAAGACAACATTGCTGTACTTGCTGGCGAAGTAATCCATCGCCGACAGGTAGTAACTTACCGGTGCCGGCCGCGTCTTCAGCTTGTGCCAAAGGTAATCCACGTAATCGGTTCGACGCACGTGTACACTGACGTAGGTTGGCGAGGATAGATTGAACTTTTCCGATACACGTCTCAATACTTTCTCCGCGTAAATTCTCAGACTCGGCTTGAACGTGAATTCCCGTCGTACGTCGTCCAGCCAGACCAATATCAAGGACCAATAAGCCGCATGCCTGTCGAAAGAGTGTTATAAGTTATTTTATTCTAGTTACATTTCTCATGTGCCTATAATATATATGTATATCAGCGATAATTAATTACTAATTTAATCTGATTTCAGATGAAACTCAAAGTCTAACAAGACTGACCTGGGTATAATGATGTTCTGGTCCGTGCTATTCCACTGACTGAGCGAGTTGACCACTTGCCCGACGTCCAAGGTACACCTGCCGATGTAGCTGAGCGGCGGGATGCTGAGGTTCTCGAAGTGCTCCTCCAGGGTCTTGAGGATGCAGCGCGGCATGAACGGCTCCAGGCCGGTTCTACGAGCGGTCGCCCACACGGACGCATACTCCCAGATCTGATTGCCGAGTCTACCGCCCTGCACCGCCGAGACTATGCCGTTAATGGGACAGGGATTGTTGCGCCAGTCGGGTGCCGGTGCCCGGACGTTGGATGTCTTCAGGGTCGTGCGACAGAGCGTCTGCTCGTACACGGAGATCTTCATGTGGCGCGCCGGCGGGGACGACGTGTCATACATGGGGAACAGGAAGACGTGGATGCCGAATACCACTAATAGCGCGAGAACTATCGCGCTCGCAAGCACATGCTGTTGAGCGTGACTCATTCTCTCTCCTTCCGCGAGATTTTTGCGCCACGCAAATTAATTTTTTTTCGAGCGACAGGATCTCTTTCTCTTTCTCTACGTACTTGCTCTCTACCCTCTCTTCACTACTCTGCTCTGCCTTCTTGCTGCCACTACTCTGGTCGGCCACTCGCTCTCTCGCGCGTACGCTAGTCCGGCATTTCGTATCTACAGGTGTGCCATGTCCTTTGCTTTCCGACGTACATCTTGGTAACGATAAATGAGCGATTAATGAGCGACACAAGAAATGCGAACGATATCAGAGGATGCGTGCGCATCGTGCGTTTAAGGTGATTGTAAATCTCTCGTGGATACTGAAGCGTGCATCGTTTTAGGGGCGGGTAAACTTACAAAAATTTAAGTATCAAAATATACTTTTTATTGTTTTTAAAGAGAAACGTAGATAGTTTTTTCTAAATGATAAGCTGTATAAGATTGCTTCTGAATATGTCTAAGTGCTTCAAATAAATGTTAAATATATAAGGATACCAAAACTCTTAAAACACTTATATAAAATTATATTTTTTAATCTTTACATATCTTTTTTTTTTTTAGAAAATATTGATCCAATTGTTATCATTTTTAATCTATTCAAAGTAAATTACGATTTAATCGTTCAGTTTAAAGAAATTATAATTTTATCAAGTTATATTAGAGTCATTAAAAAATTGATTTTCAAACTATAATTAAAATTCAGAACGAATTGATTCAGCATATAAAGCACCTATCAAAATATAACCAAATATATGAGAGTAAACGTAAAAGAAAATTATTCAAATATATTAAGAAAATGTTGACACAAAAACACAAAGATAGGATTATATAGAATTTTTTCATATAATTTCGCAATTGACACCCGCCCCTTTAAGAGTGCTTTTTACATTCGAATATTATTACGAATACTTATTTTGAATACTATTTTGTCAATTTTAAAATTATAATAGTGAAATAATCATGTAATAAAAAAGTAAGACAGAGTAACATAAAGATAGACGAATAGCAAGATCGATTTTTAAGTGATATCGTATTTCGATCTTTTTATTTTAAGAGAAAATATTTCTCTAAATATATGTAAAAATTTTTATAAAAATTTAATTTAAATTTTAAGCTAAAATATTTAATTATACTTTAATCTATATATTTTATTCTGAAATATTTTGGCAAGATTTTTCTTATTCAATTAATATATGCATGCACTTTTCAAATTTGCTCTCTGTAAAGAAATGCTTAAGATGGTTTAATTTGCGTTAGACACCATATATAAAAACTACTCCTTTACTTTTAGATAATTAAAAAAGGACATGGCTAACACACCGTTGCTAAAGCTTGATTAAAATCACATGCAAGAAGCGCTCTTAGCAGATATATAAAGTTACATTGCTACGTATAATTATAATAAAATATTGAAAAATGAATTGTTCTGACATCAATAACGATATAATTTCGTTGAGCTCGATCTTCAACGCTGACAAATCAAATTATAAGCGTTTATTATATGACAAGCACAAACTTCATTATTGTATATTTGAAAATAGTGTAAGCGAAAACTTTTCTTCTTCAACAAGTCGAATATATTCAAACGATATTAATAAGTTAATTAATATGGAATATGGAGATAGAATGGGTAAAGTACTTCGCAGAGCACGAAACTCTTTATCACGCGATATTCGTTTCCCAGAACATTTTCATCCTTCGCACGTCCGAAGGTAGTATTTAAAAAAGTTTTGAAAAATAGCACGTATTATTACGCTATAATAATGTGCGCTGTTATATTTGCCTACGTAACTTCTTATCGATATGAGAAAAGTTTAAAATTTAAAGCTCGATAGAAAAATAAAAAACATGAAATACGCGACGCGTGACATAAACAACTCTGTGCAATTTATAAATCAGGAATAATAAAGTAGAAAAATTTTGCGCGAATTATACGTTTACAAAATTTATTTGAGTTTGTAGAAAAAGCAATGCAATTTTTATGTAAAAAGTAATTGTAAACATTGCAAAGTTTAACGAAACATTTTTTACGATTTTTAAGTATATGAAACAGTGAGAGATGCATTTATCTTTTACTATATTTATTCTCATCGGGTCTCGTAGAAAACCTATATCATGTCATGTATATATATGCACGTACGTGTCAAAGTTATTGCGTCGCAAAGATGAAAGTTAGGTGTGTGACATATATTCCTCGAACTATGCTCTAACTGTCAAACGCGACGTATCAAGATCAATTCTTAAAAGAGGGATTTCGAAGAGCGTCTTTGATATAGCATCATTATTTAATATAGCGCATTAATTTATTTCAATATTTATTACGTTACGCAGAAATTAAATGTTTTCTTGACTCCGACGTCGCTAGCTTTAATTAAATAACTCAGCGCTGATTACATATTATATTAATCGAAATTATAATATTTAATATAGAAACAAATGCGACAGTAAAATTAATTCGCGTTACTAAGGATATTTCGCGGAGATGTTTCTCGTCATCCATCTGTCATATCCGAAACTTGTACTCCGAATAGACCGTAGAAAATCGAGCTCAACAAAATTCACAGCCCTCGTCCACCCTCACTCGACATCCCCTACACTATATGTAACCTTCTAAAAGAGACTTTTCACTCACCCGTTCCGGCGAGCACAGCTGTGCGATTCGCGACGCACAAGTCGAGCCTCGCGTAAACCAGCCGCAGGTTTAGCTCACTCATGTTTGCCCGGCGTGACGTCCGCGGACGCTTGTTGCACCCTGGTTGTCGCCGTCTTCGTTTACCACCACGGCCTCGAAGTCTGTCGCTCTCCCGGACGCAGAGCACCGTCTCGCTCACGGCGATCTATACTCCGCCGCTCCTCCTAGCCGTCCTCTTCTACGACGTATGACGACGTTCCGGGATATTCCCGTGCGCTGTCCGTCCGCTCGGACGGGGATGAGCCGCCATCCTCTCAGGGGGATGTTGTCTCGGGGGTGTGACGTCATTCACCCACAGCCGGCGCGTTACGTATAGATTTTTAATTTCCCTTGGCGCCGTCTCGCGCGCGCGAGCCGGCTCCTCTGTCGTTCGATAATCGCATATCGAGAGTCGCGCTCGATGAATCGAGAGTCGCATTCGATGAATCGAGATTGATGTAAACGTGCGAGGCTATTCAGTGTGTAAAAGTTTGAAAATAATTACACGCGTTTATTAATTATTTAATCTGCATGCGTGCCAATATGTATATATATTTTATAATTGCAATTTATTTTAATTACTAATTACGCGGCAACGCACTTCTTTATCAATGGTCGGTTTTATCGCAATGGTTATTAACGGCAGTTGCTATTTCATATTCGCGGTTAGAAAAAGAATTTAAATTTGGAGCCAATTTCATTAAGTCGATTAACATCAGGATTGCCAAAAGCAAATATTCATGTCACGAATACTTTTATATCTATACGTTGGCCACCCTGCTAATTTTAACCGCGCGGTGCATCTAATCGAAATTGGTCCTTTATTAATCATTTTTAGCACTTTAGTAATTTATAAACATTACAGAAAGTATTTCTCAAGCAGTTTTATACTACGTCCTGCGAAAAACTGCGCTCGCTCTTATTTTCAATTTGATAATACCATTCATTTGATATAGCATTGATCCTCTCTCACGCGGTTATATTTCCCGCCATATCGAGCAATTCCTGCTTCCCGCCAAAATCGAGCAAGACTCGCTTCACGCGCGGCAGTGTCTCGTTAGTCCGAGCGCATTTAATTAATTTTTTCGTGTTTCGACGAAGCCTGGCAACGAATATCACTTCACAGGAAGTAGGTAAGATTGTATTGAACACTATATATTGGAGGTTGCACGATCTATTCGAGAATTAATGTTATTTTCGCGTTATTTGCAGACAAGGAAGTCTGGGGTTAGAAACACGGCGCGAGTGTAATGCTGCAATCCGGAGATCGGTGAACCTGCGATATATTTCGCTATATTCTAACGACGAGATCGGTGAGTGTGTAGTATACTTTTGTTTATATTTCATCTTCCAGCAATCCTATCGAGTCAGTTTGACCATCAGGAGGGTTATTAGCGTAAAGGCGAGACAAAAATATATGTGTAAAAAAAATGTTTTTTTTACACGCAAAAACTTTTTTTTGCAAACTTTTGTTTGTCATTTCACGAGTTGAGCCCGATACGAGGCTTTGCATGTATCGGCTCTCGTTTTATCACGATTGCGGAAGGACGCGGTGGAGGATCTTTTGTGCGGCAAGAGAGCTTTTCTGTACTATCTGGACGAGCTTGAAAGCTCGTCGCAAAGTAGGCCGCGGGAGTCCGATATCGTGTGTCGCCTCGGTCAAATTATAATGGTGTCTCCACCCTTTTTTCTATTCAATTTATCCGATATCAATATATGTATACATACGGTTTTATCCTGCGTATATACTTTATATGTATATTTTATCCTCACAATATATATACGATAATCTATATAAGAGTAATAATCTTTTCAGCACATTTTATGAATGAGATTTAAACTCGCAGAAGATATTTGAGAACCAAAAGCTTATGCTTTTTTAAAAGTTTAATGAACAGCATTTTTATATTATTAAAATATTATTAAAAAAATTAAATAAAATAAAAAATAATAAGATCATTTTTATATTGCTGCATTTTATAGATATTTCACAGGAAAGAACAAGATATTTAATTCTTTTGTTTCAATACTTCATAAAGTATAAAATATTACAATTAATGCATTATAAAATATTTGCAAGATTATATGTTATTTATATAACAAATTATAACAAGTTTATTTATTTATATAAAGAAATAATTTTTGCATTAAGAAATCATTTTTTATGATAAAAATAAATAATTTTCAAAGTTCTATTTATCATTGCATAATAATAATATATCGTGTACACCCATTTTTTCATCATTTTGACGTCCCGAGAGATTGCTGGTTAGCTCGTAATTTCATTTTGGCTCTGTTATTTCGTGGGGTCTGGACTACACGAAAACTTACTTCCATGGACAATATGCTCGCCTATAGGGGGTCTTTCCGACATAATTTGCCTTTAATGGTTGATATCATGGTAGAAAAATTTTTTTTGTTTCAAGATGCTACTGATTAAACTCTCTTCAAGCTATTTTTTTATATCATTTTCTTTTTTTACTTATACATTTATCATTATCTACGAAAATGGCGAAATCCACTTATGCAGTAGTTGCATGCAGATAAAAAATAAATACATTATATGTTTTAGTACAAATGCAATATATAAAGAGCAAAGAATATTTTTTTTGTTCTTTTATTACGTGCATATGACGTTTATAAAGTTCAAAAAACTTTCCAAAAAGCTAAAAAACATATTTTTTTTTTTAGCTTTCTTTAGAAAGTTTTTTTAGACTTTATAAACATCATATGCGCGTAATAAAAGAACAAAAAAAAATATTGTCTTTCGTGTTTTTTAAGGACGCGGCCGTACCTCCATATTCCACGGAAATTTTAATGATGCTACGGAGCTGTGCGGAGCAAATTAAAAAACTTAAATACGAGGTGGTCAAACTTGTCGTACGTTTTGAAGGATTGTCGAGAAACTTATCCGAAAAAGTTTTTTTTTCTGAATTTTAGTGATAAATGTTGGAGTTTGCTCTTTATATATGCATGCATTTATTTGAAATTGTGTGGCTTTAAATATCTAATGACAATTATAAATACCTCTTTTCAAATAAGAGTAAATTGTACAAAAATAAAGCTCATAAATAAATAGAATTTATTTTTAAAAAGGAAATAAGAGTTCAGGACAGAATCATAGATTGTCTATATATTTTTAACAAAGATTTATATTATTTAAAAAATGGTATGCAAATAAGTATAAAGGTCAGAAATATATGTGCATGAATTAAAGATATTAATAATTTTCAAATGGATTATGCAATGATAATATCTATAGAATTCGTATATTTTTGATGATTAACATATTTACATGATGGCATCTCTGCTATAAAAATATATTTGAGTTTGAAGATTAGGAAATTTAAATTTCATAAAATACTTCTTAAATACTCTTAATTTCACGAAATTAGTGTTGATTTTTCAAATAAATTCTCTAAATTATGTCTCTTTTATGTTTTTGTCACGCCATACAGCGATTCACACGAGTGATATCGAAGTCTTAATTCTTCTCTTTTGTACCTGTCAACTGCATTGGCCGGGGTAGAGTTTTCGATCCCGATTCCCGCGAAATCCTTTCGACCACGAAATAAGACGCGGACGGAATGAGCCACGGTGGAAATTTTCTCGGACGAGTTTTATATCGGAATTGCCGAGAAGAAAGGGGAAGGCTATACTTGCGTGCTTGCACAGGGGCGGATTTCTCGAAGTTTGATATTTATAATTGAATCAGTTGTTATATACAGGAAATCACGAATCAGCTTGATTATGACAAAAAAAAAAAATCTCATCTTTCTTTCCAAGTATTATATCATTATTCAAATTATATAGCTCTTCGAGTATTTCGTTTGTAATCCAATTTTCTCTATCCAAATTCAGCAAAATTATATTATTCTCAATCTTTGAAAGCAAAGATTGGATTTCCTTGCATTCGATAAAAAAAGGAAAGTTTCGCGAGTAAGAAAAAGTTTGTTTAAGTCTCTTTTCTCTTTCTCTTCATTTATTTAGTTTTCGACAGTTATATGTAAGCAAGAAAAAAATTACGCTACACTTATTTGTTATAACACAAGCGCGAGAGAGTGGCGTAAAGACTTTTCCTTGACATATCGCGATATGGTACCAGAGAAATTCAACGCACGAAAATAATGCGAGTTTCAATTCTCATTTGCCTATGATTCGTTAGCCTTCATCTTCATACGGATCCGTCCCTGTGCTTGCGCAGGTGCAAGCTCACTGCGACATGCATACGAGGCGCCTTGTATGCACCACGTATCGCTTTGCGATAGAGGAGGAGAAGGAAAGATAGAGGGAAAGAGAGACAGATACCGATTGAAATCGCGGTCCATGCTATTGACAGGCCGTCTTTATAGCTATGTGCATCGCAATTCTTCCGCAATTTTCCCCACCCCATACTCCTTTCGGAACTCCTTTTTTCCGCAGCTCTCGGGCAATTCGAATCCGATATCGCGCTCTGCCATCACCCTTCTCTTTTATCTCTCATGGTGGTCTTTTCATTTTCCCGTCTTTCCCGCTCGACCTTTAATCGACAAGTTTTCGTACTCTTTGAGTTTGTGTCTTAATTCGTGAATTTATAGGATATTATATGAAACCATTACATATAATATAGTTATTAATCCTCTGTTATCTGATATATGAGTCTCTCAGAAGCTAAATTATTGACTCCACTTTTTGTGAATTTTTTAATTTTAATATCAGATATTAATTAATGCTCTGCTATTAAATAAGATATTCAAAAAAAGTCGAGTTGATCAATTTAGCTTTTGAGAGACTCATATAATGAATATAAAATTAAAAGTATTCTTAATATTTTGATATTCTGATATATCTATAAAGTTCAATAATAATTTTTTGAAATTGTATTGTACGCTGCTATAATTTAGATTTTATATTTGTATGTTGCAGACAATGTAAAATTCGGGAGTGCCGTTAAAAGTATTGCTCGTACAAGTGCGGGAGTTCCGTTAAAAGTATCGCGCGTATTTTAGTGAATTGAACTTTGACGACCCCCTGACAATTTGAGAGGAGGAGGAGGCCTAAGGGAGGCATCAGGCACCAGCGGAGCAACCTAAGGTGAGTACATCGTTATTTGTATATTAATTATGTATTATAAATTGTATATATAAGTATTTAATTCAAGTTCATTTTATTTGAAACTTTAAATAAATAAGATAAACTTGAGTTATCACTTTAATAAGATTTATTTATATAAAATATTTATATAAATCTTCTTATAAAAGCTTCTATTAAAAATTTTTAATATTTATTTATAAAAATTATTTTATTATATATTATATTTATATATTGTTTATTAAATTGT